TGCGCTGACGTCACAGCAGGAGGAGAGCAGAAGAGTCGGGCCACTCTTCTCAATCCTAGCGATGATGGCGTCCCGACACCCATGAGCAAGCAGAAAAAGAGGAGGAAGAAAGAAAGGAAGAAAGAAAGAAAGCGAGGCCCCTTTCAGGATCGCGATGATTAATTTTTGCTTCGGACTTCAATTCGTTCGTCTTTTGTTGTTGATATGTCTGGATCATTGACTTTGTATTGGAGGTTGGGGTAAGGCGCAGGTGCCTCCATCCATCCGTTCATCTATCCGTCCATCCAGCGCAGTGGAGGGGCCGGGCCGGCCCGATGGCTGCTGGGGGAGGTGGAGGAGGATGCGGGGAGTCGGTGGATCATTACCGGGCGGAGGTGGAGCGGCTGACCCGCGAGCTCGTGGAGGCGAACCGGGAGAAGGTCCGGGCGGCGGAGTGCGGGCTGGCGGTGCTGGAGGAGAACCAGAGCCTCAAACAGCAGTATGCGGAGCTCGAGGCCGAGCAGGAGACCCTCCGACAGGAGCTGGAGCAGCTGCAGGAGGTACAGCTCATTCTCCTCTTATAATAATCACTGAAGATGCTTTTCAGACAACAGGCCTAGTGTGCTTTATGTTATAGAACAGAACAAAATTAAATGGAAAACAACTGAAAGCAACAGAGTAGAAAAGAGCGTTGCCAAAAATCTGGTCATGTCATGTTGTTATGGAATTTAATATTGCCAAGAAATAGGTTATGTTATGTTATGTTACAGTATGTTATGTTATGTTATGTTATGTTATGTTATGTTATGTTATGGGAAAGAACAGGAAACAGAACAGAATATTGGCCAAAATCAGTTCATGTCATGTTATGTTATGGAAAAGAATAGAAAACAATAGAGTAGAATATTGCCAAAAATCTTCTTATGTCATTATCGCAAAGAATAGACTACTGCAAAAATCTGATAATGTCATGTTATGTTTGGAATAGAATATTGACAACATGTTGTGTTATGCTACCGAAAATGACAATTAAAAAAAAGTATAGAATAATACTTAAACATCTTAAGTTATTTAAGTATAGAATAAAATAGACTTTTGCAAAGTCTGTTCATGTCATGTTATGTTTTGGATAGAATATTGACAATATATATGTTATTTTGTGTTATGTTATTAGAAGAATAGAAATCAATAGAATAGAATATTGTCAGAAATCCGGTAATGTTATTATTGAAAAGAGTAGAATAATTTAGACTATTGCAAATAAATAAATACATACATTTTAAAAATACAAAAATAAATAAATAAATAAAAATCTGTTCATGTCATGTTATGTTTTGGAAAAGAATATTGACAACATCTAGGCTGTTATATTATGTTGTTGAAAAGGAAAGAATTTAATATTAGAGTGAAATAGAACAATAGAATAGAATATTGTCAAAAATGTTGTCATGGAAAAGAGTAGAAAATAATATAATTTTGCCAAAAACCCCAAAGATAGATTGGCATACAATATGTGTGTAGAACAGAAGACAGTAGAAAGAATTGTAGAATAAAATAGGATAGAATAGAACAGATTATAATACAAACAAAATTGCTAGTCACAAAAATGTGATTTTTCCCCCATGTCTACTACTACATGAAACTTAAAAAAGCAAAGCAAATCATGTGCTGTAAATCATATACACACTAGAGACTGTGCTATACTGAAACTGCAGTTGTGGTGAATCAGAGACTATAACAGCAGAAATAAAGAAGGCAGTGCAACAAGAAATATCATACAGAAAAGGCGATCCTCCGTGTTCAATGGAGTCTGTGCTCTGACCTGAATAATGTTGTTTTGTGCCTGTCTAGTGTGCTCAGAGATTGTGTGTCTGCTCATGCCTGTTTGTTTGCAACATTTATTTACAAAGTTGCAACATTACTTAGTTCTAATTATCTAGTTTTAAATTCTCAGCAGCTATCTCAAAAGGTCTGAGTAAGCAATAACAGTTTTGCAGCATGTTAACGTTACAGAGTCGCAGAGTAAATGATGTTCTTGACTGATGCATTTCATTGCTCCTCGTCTATATTCCCACAGCCTGAGTTTATTCATAGCTTCATTAGTAGAGGCAGTGTACTCTTGCTGACTGCAGTGGACTGCGCTGAAGGTTAGCACAGGGCGACGGCTGCCAACAAACACGCTCACAGATAATAAGACTGACATAGAAACGCGTCTGCTTCAGGAGTCCTTCATATGCACTTGAGTACAAAGACTGTCATTGAAACCCCCAAAAAATCCAAAACGAAACGAAACTCCAGAGTGGATTGATTTACAGTGATAAGTCTGGCTTGATTTATAACTATATCATATAATAATCTTAGCTTTTCTTGTGATGGAGGTGAATTAGGTTATAATGAAAATTTGTGATTAAAAAGAGAACTGCAGGCTTTGCTAATGCACACAGCACATCTTTAATTGGCTGCTTCGGCTCTTTATTAAATCTCAATGAACTGTATTGATCGTTGACTAATAGATCAGAGCTCTGCGCTGGAAATTGCTCACAAATTTGGCATTGAGCAATATTCTTCAGTGTCTTCAGATGATAAGAAGGACTGGGATGAAAGCCATCAGTATTGCATGTCATAATCACGAAAATACACAACTATTGGGTAAAATATTTCATTTTTATTCAGGTCGAGCTGCATTTTATTGCTTCTTTTTGGCATTGAATGAATTATAAGTAAATTGGAAGTATGTTTTGACATTTATAGCCAGTATCTTTATCCATTGTATTAGATGGATTGTTTTTGTTGCAAGTATATAGGAAGGTATCTTAGAAGGTAGTAGTGTAAGTCAGTCTGTGATGCCTTAAAATAAAATGTAAGCAGCTCACATTAGATTTTTTTTATTGTCTTTAATGAATATTGCTCATATAATTTTTTGTAATATGCATTTTATTGGTAATTATCTGTATTTCCCGGTGTATGCAATACTAATGGTAATCTGAGACATACCAGATGATGAAGGCATCTGCTGATATATTATTCATAAATGTCTATTTCGGACATTCAAGACTCCCCATTGGCCTGCTAAGATTGGCTGCTACTATAACCTGAAACTGGAAAAGAGCAATAATATGCTTAAATATGACAAACACAAAAATATATAAAATTAAATAAAAAAATATATATATTATTATATTGCCAAAAAATTATTTTATTTATTTATTTATTTTTGTTGTTGTTGTTGTTACACAAGCATGTTTCCCAGAGTCCTTTGTGTTTCCTTGGCAAAACCACAACCCCGTGAGCTCAGAAGCTTCCAGGAGCCTCATGTGCCCTTCCCAAGAATTCCCATTACAAACGGCCATTCATTCAAAAGCTGCTTTATAGTTGTTTACTTGGATTCCACCGAGCACATGCATCATTCAGAGTGAATCTTCCAATCACGTTTCCCACGGTCTTTCATAATGAACAAGAAGAGCTGACAGTTTATTGGCTGATGCCGGTTTACCTCCATTTGCAATATTGGCAGAATATAGCAGTGTCTGTTGTGGCTTGTAAGCTGCCAATCAAACACAGTGTCAACAGTTGTCCCTTTAATATCACAAATACAAGCAAAACACACTCAGATGTCATCTTACGTCTCTGATATACGGCCAGTCCTCAGGATGGCTTGTGAGAGCACTTTTTACTCCGACTGAGAGTCTTCTGAAGGCTTTGAGGATTGAATCTGTCTCAGAACGATAATGCCTAGGGATATTTGAGGCTGTGCCTTATTCTAGTGGAAAAAAAGGAGAGTTTTTCCAACAAATCTAGATCTGAGAAATACTGGGTTCTTGTGATGCTTTTCGGAGGATTATATAATTAATTTGATTGCTGCAATTGCTTATTATTAGGGCCATTTACACATTAACTGTAAAATGCTTATTATTCGCTGTTGATGAGATGTTTGGACTCATAGCACTGCATTTGCTAATTGCTGATTGGTGGTTATATGCTTTAAGAGCATGCTGAAGTGGTTTCCAGATGAGAAAATCACTCATTTCTGACTGGGTTGGTGTTTCTGGCGGTGCATCATGTGTGGCTGGTAATGTACATCAGATGAAAAGTGCAGAGGTGCATTAGTTGCAGCAGCTCAGAGCTAAAAGCATCAGTCGGCAGAGCAGCATGTCTCATGCAGAGATGGTTTAATGCAGCTCAAGTGTGAATGTGAATCCAAAATAACCTGGGAAAAACATGATGGATATGTGGGTTTGAAGTGATGAAACAATAGATAAAGTGTTGAGAATGAAGACAAAAGGGCACTTTGTGACCTTTAAAATAAAGGCTTGTGCTTTATCTTTTTGAAATAATTCAGTGACGGATTTCTTCAGAGTTCATGCCGAGTTCCTGATGTGCTCGGGCCGGAGCTTGGAGACACTGAGTTATGAATTATGGATGGGACAGATCCAGGCACTTAGGGGGAGACATGTGAACGTCAGGTTGTATAATACACACAGAGAAACATTCGCTGCATAATTCATGTGATGTCAAGTACTTGACTTCATTAAAACACCCAGGTCAGATTTAAGCATAAAATCATAAGGCGAAAAAAAATGCTTAATTAATTAGCATAAAGAAAATTAAGCCTATTTTAGGTCGATTATTTATTTATTTATTGCAGGATTTAAATTTGACATTATTTTCATGAGACTTAATCACATTTAAACTCTCCATTTTGTATTTTTTGTATTATGTTTTGTATATTTTTGTATTATCTCTATGCTCAAACGTGTCATTACTGTAATACAATGCTAATTTTAACAATATATTTCAATAATATATCTTTATTATATATTAAAATATATGAAATTGATATTTTGTATACATTTTTTATCATTTTATTTTTACATTTTTCATATTTGTCAAATATGCTTATGCTTCATGAATAGCATACTGTATAAAAATATGCTTCATTTTCTTACATCAAT